TACAACCAAGGATCAAGGGATAAAAAAAAGTAATGCATGGTGAAGGAAAAGGACAAAGTAACACAATCCCAGAGAAGTCTTAGTCAGCCAGGCTGACCTTGGAGAACAATTGGGATAAACTCTCAAAGAGGATATTGCATGTAAGCAAGAAAAGGTTTTGATTATTAACACCTAAGAACTGCAATTGATCAACTTTCAACACTGTTAAAACACATTTTTTAAAAGCAATAATATAGAAAACCAAATTAGAAAAATGAAATCTAAAATGCAGAAAAATACTTTAGACAATGTAGATCCTCAAAACATTCTTGTCTCTCCGACGCACTCAGACTTAATTGTGAAACATTTTCTTCAATTCCTTATTGGTTCCATTCTCCTCTCTTTTCTTCTCTCTTTCATAACATAGCATATTCTGATACCTCATTTTGCTGTTGTTGTTAGTCATCCAGCATGATTTTAAATCAAGAAGAACATAATACTTAAAGATTCAGGCTTGCTTACCAGAAGAGACTACTTTTCTCAGCTTCTTGGTATTTAGTAAGTATTTGTTGAATGAACAAATGAATGGATTCAAAATATGTTCCAAATATCACCAAGACAATGGGAATTTTGATGAGTTAATGAGAGCAGTGTTTGAGGGGCCAGCCTGGTGGCGCAGTGGTTAAGTTCACATGCTCCACAACGGCAGCCTGAGTTCGCCAGTTCAGATCCCGGGTGCAGACCTAAGTACCACTTGTCAAGCCATGCTGTGGTGGGCATCCCACATACAAAGTAGAGGAAGATGGGTGTAGACGTTAGCTCAGGGCCAGTCTTCCTCAGCAAAAAGAGGAGGATTGGCGGCAGATGTTAGCTCAGGGCTAATCTTCCTCAAAATAAAAAAAATAGTGCTTGAAAAGAAAGACACTTATTTGTGGTTAGATTACAACTGTAAAAGATTAAGTGCAGCAAGTCTCAGAGTCATAAAAACCTCATAATAATGAAATGAATATTTGGAAATTTTAGCACTTTGTTACCTATGGCTGATGGCTTACCATGACTTAAAATTGTTTTTGGGAAATAATGAGCATAGAATGAACTGGCATGTTGAAGTTTTGGCTATACACCCATAATAGGTGTCTAGGAGTCCAGTTGCAACACCCATTAGAACCAGACTATTCTTCAAACATATGCCACAGGGGGTCTCTAGTAAATTAATGAGTAAGAGAGAAAACACATGACTTAGAAAATACCAGGCTCAAAGTGTATTGTACAGGACAGTTTATTTTAAAGGACAAATACAGAAAACAATGCAGAATAGTTCTACATTTTTATCATTCCCCAGGTATAGTCCTAGTCTGGGTACTGAGTGTTAATCATTAATTCTGGATTATCAGGCATCTCATGTTGACAGTGGTTACTTACTTTGGGGGTTTTTTGCAGTAAAAAACTTTAACTTTTCTCTCTCATAGCGATTTTAGTTTGTAAGCAACAAGATTTAAGTTTGTTGTTTGTCTTTCTGTTGGTATATGAAAAAAATCTATTTTAACAATAAAATATATTTTGTTTTAAAAGCTCATAAAAGGATAAGTCAGAAAAATAACTGGAGTGGAATTAACATTGTGTAAGTTTCAGGTGTACGACGTGTTGGTTTGATATGTTTATATATCGCAAAATGATTTCTACAATAGCCTTAGCTAACACCTCTATATTGTCACATAATTTGTGTATACGTCTTGAGAACAAGTGAAATCTAGTCTCTTATCAACTTTGAAGTTTATAATACGGTATTGTTGACTATAATCACTAGTTGTGCATTATCTCTCCAGAACTTATTTACTAGTTGCAAGTTTATACCCTTAAACATCTCCTCAATTCTTCCAACCCCTTAGCCCCTAGTAACTGCTATTCTGCTCTGTTTTTACAAGTTCAGCTTTGTTTTGTTTTCCACATATAAGTGATATTGTACAATATTTGTCTTTGTCTGACATTTTATTTATTATAATCAGAAATCACTTGCTTTTAATTCCTTCCTTGGGCAGTTTAATGTAGACATGAGATGACTGCATTTCAAGAAGGTTTTGTCTAGGTGACATAGAAATGGGACTTGTTTTCAAAAAGTTGGACTCAGTGGCATGAAAGCAGAAAGAAAATTTATTCTTTTTCACCACTGGCCCTACAACTCTATTTTGTTGAGTTATTCTTTCCTTTCAAGTATAAAACCTTAGCCAGGTCTCATAGCTTCTGCTGTCACTCATATATTAAGTCTAGTCCAGGCTAAAAACAAAGCTTGAATCTGTCATTTGATATAAAACTTCTCTCACTCACCATTTTTATATCCAATTCAAGCCTGAAAACCTGACGTAGGAAGGCTGTTTTATTGCAGACTCTTGTTCTTCTCCCCAACATCTATGCTGCTTTTGGCTGCCTTACAGTGCATATATAGCTAGTGTCATCCAGAGTTCACTTTTGGCTGTGGGAAACTGTCAATCATACCAGATATTCTAACACAGACTCATTCTTCTGTAGGCATCTGGGTCAGGTGTCCCCAAGGCCACTCTCAAGTTTGATGATTCATGAGAAGTACTGAGAGAACTCAGAAAAGCAGTTTAGTTACGGTTACACTTTATTGCAGTGAAAAGATGCAGATTAAAATCAGCAAAGGTTAATTGCGCTTAGAATGGTGTGCAGCAGAAAACAGGCACAAACTTCCAGTTGTCTTATCCCAGTTGAGTCATATTAATAGCACTGGGTTCACCTAGAATAATGTGTGAAAACACATATGAAATATCGCCAAGCAGGAAAACTCACTGGAGCTTTGGTATTTGGGGTTTTCAGTGGGGATAAGACACATGGGCATGGAGCACCCATGTGATTGATCATAACTACTCAGATTCCAGCTCTCTCACACATCAAACTGACACAGCACAGCTCTAGACCCAATGCAAACAAAAAAGGGTTTCACTATAAATCACATTGTTAGCACAAACTATCCGATGTGGCTCAAGGCCCAGGGTAAAGACACTCTTATGAGGCAAGATATTCCAAGGGCTTGAAGGATATCTCCCAGGAGCCAGTCAAGGGCAAGACCTTTCTTTGGAATACGCAGGGTTTGAGCAGCCCAAGCAGACTGAGTTAACCCTTTGCTGCACGGCACCTTTGTGAATTTTATTGGAATCTCTTCACATGGGCTCTCCCACTTGAAGTTGCCTGATATGACTGTTTCCTCCTTCAATAGTACTGAATCTTAAGAAATTATTGTCCTCCTGGTTTCAGATGCTATACTGTGTCCAGACATTATCTACTGGGATTACTTTTCCCTTTCATGAGGTGCTCTTCAGTAATTTCCTTTTTTTTTTGAGGAAGATTAGCTCTGAGCTAACATCTGCAGCCAATTCTCCTCTTTTTGCTGAGGAATAGTGGCCCTGAGCTAACATCTGTGCCCATCTTCCTCTGCTTTATATGTAGGATGCCTGCCACAGCATGGCTTGACAAGCAGTGCATAGGTCCACACCCGGGATCCAAACCGGCAAACCCCAGCCCGCCGAAGTGAAATGTGCAAACTTAACCACTGCACCACCAGGCCTGCCCCAGCAATTTCCTTTTAAGACGGCCTGTTTCAAATCCCTTTTCAGTGTCCAGGCCCATGGGAAATATGAAACTTGCTCCAGGGAACTTTGGAAGGGCAGCAATTCCCAAGCAGTCCTCTTTGCTCTAATCATTCTACAACAGTGTTTTACCTTATAGATTTTTCAGGTATGAGTCAAGCCCAGTTTTGTCCCCCAATCTCTAGGAGTTACACGTCAATTTCTATAGATCCTTTTCCCTTCATTTGGATAACAAGAGATAGAGAACTTACTGATTATTCTCTTCAAAGAAATGATCTCTTTTGGCATCTTCTGAGAAACCTCCATATCAATGAGGGTGATGCCATAAGGAAAGCAAAACTGGTTTGGTAATTTTTTAGTATAGATATTCTAGGACAGTTCAGTCAGTCTTAAAGCCTCTAAAGTCTAACACCAAGCAAAACTCTCCTTCAGGGTGTTACAGAAAGTACAGTTTGGTGTACAAAAGAGAAACAATAAGGGGGGTAAGACTTTAGGCTATCCTTGCTTGGAAAACTCTAGCACAGAGATCAGCAAATTTTTTTTCTGTGAAGAGTCAGAGAATAAATATTTTAGGCTTTCCAAACCATACAGTCTGTGCTGTGACTACCCAATTCTGCCATTGTACTCAAAAGCAGTCATAGACAATATATAGATAAATGGACATAGCTGTGTTTCAGTAAAACTTTATTCACAAAAATAGATGGCAGCCAGTGGGCCACAGTTTGCCAAATCAAGCTCTAGAGGAACCAAACTTCTTAAAGACAAATAAATGGAAGTAACTCAATTAAAAGGGCTTGTTATAACAGTGAGCTTACGACTCTGTTGCTTGGGAATAGAGTCTATAAAAGGATAATAAATGGACATTTGATAACTAAAAAGCACAGCATTTAAAATTAAGATCTTAATATAAAGAATTGTTAATTAGGTATAAAGTTGCTACAAAGAGAAAGAAGAGAACCCTGTGATATGACAGAAGGAGCAAGTGTAGGAAGCAGCCTCCACTCCTAGGGATAGGAACAAAACAAAGAGGTTCAAATTATTAAAGCCTAGAAACATAGAGAAGAGGTCCCATAGAGTGGAAATTCAGACCTTAAGAAAGATACTTTCACCAACTCACTGTGTGTCTCTGATCCCAGAGGATTGTCCTTTTGAACATGATGGGGAGGTTGTGCTGGGGCTGTGCTGAGAGGAAGGGGAGCCAGCCAGCTCCTGCTGGTGCTGGTGGTCTAAGGAAGGGTGCAGTGAAGTGCTGGAAAAGCTGCAGACTGGATTCAGCTCCTGCTATGAGGAGGAAATGCTGCCAAGATGAGAGGCATTGCTGGAGTGGTACTCATAGAAACAATGAGTGGGCGGGAAGCGCCTAGGAAGTCTACAAGGAATAAAGTGGAAGTAGCAATTTACTTTTTCCTTCATTAGCCTTACAGTCTCCTTCCGCCATTCCTTATTGGACCCTAACACAGAGCCAATTGTCACAGCAGAAACATGATTTGCAGAATCCTGTCACAAAACCAGGTATGAAAAGGTAGGTTTGAACCTGCTAGAAAAAAATTTAATAACTGACATAATCCACCCTTTAGGCTATTCAGCATCCACAGAAATTCTTCCATGGATATTTCCTCTTCCATGCTACAGAAAACAAAATCTATAAGTCTGTCTAGCAAGATGCCACTATTCACACAAAGATGTTCTATGGCATCCTCCAAAATAGATACATTGCATCCATCTGTGGGCTCTATTAATTACTCCTCAAATTCTGTCAAAGCCCTTCTAAATATTCTGCTGCCTGAACAATAAATTATAATGATATCATCCAACAAAAGTTGTTTAAAATAATGAGAACAAAGACATAAAATAAGAATATAATAAATATATATGAATATATATAAATCTACTAAAAAAGGAAGAAAATGTATGTAGCTGCTACAGTCACATTACTACAACTGATCAAGCTGGCAGACTGATAGTTATCACTTCCTTCCTCCACTATCCATTCCATGATTCCTTTGCTCTCAGTCAGGACCTCAACCAGTGTGGGTTCTTTATCTGGTGGGGTAAACCAACCCTGCATTACTAAAAAGTCTTTATCCTCAGCTATTCTGCCTTGGTTTTGATTGCTATAGTTTTTCATTAAATTTACTATTGGACATGGAAGAATTAAGAGATATCCAGAGAATCTCTCGTGTTCTAGGCATAGTTGTTTTCCCATTAGGTAGTAGCAACCCAATTCCCCTCTTGGTAATCCCCCAAGCATGCAGGTAAAACTCTTTCTTTGTCTGTTGGCTCAATGGCATGAGGAGTCCCAAATGGCCACTTCCACGGACACATCATTATGTCCTCTGGCAGAAAATTTCCTCCACTGGAGATAAAGACCTTCAGACTGGCAGAACTCAAAGCAGTGCGTATGAGAAGCAACAACTATCTGAGTGGCTTATTAGGTATAATAAGGGGAGGCTTTTCTCCCCAGTGCCATCTCAGGATTCTAGGCGAGTGCTTCTTGGCTGTACAGGAGATACTACAAAATCATGTTCTGATTCACAGCTTGTACTGCATCCTGTAAGATAGAAACCTAATCTTTCAGAGTGTAGTCCCGCCACTGGCACCATAACTGAGTTTTCAGAAAGCAATTCTGTTATTTTATTAGCTGATTCTGGGTGATGGAGTCTGTAGTAAGATCTGTAATTTCCATAGGCATGACCTTATTGTCCTATATATTTTCTTGCTATGAAATAATTTCCTTGATCAGAAGTAGTTCTGATGAATGCTATTAAGGTAAATATGGTGTTAGGTCCACAGACAGTGACATTGCCCGAAATGTTACAAACAGAAATGGCAAATCCATATCCACAATATATGTTTATTTCAGTGAAGACAAATTTCTTCTCCTTCCATGATGCAATGGCATCCAAATAAATCAACTAGCCACAGGTGGTTGGCTATTTTCTCTAAGGCGTGATGCCATAACAGGTGTTCACTGTTGTTCTCTGTTGTTAGCAGGCTAGGCATTCACCACTACCATCAGCCAGAACAACTTTGGTGAGAGAAAATTAATACTATTAAAACCATGGGTAGTTACTTGATGAGAGACAGTCCATATACAACCTTCATCCCTGCCACTATGAACCTATTGATAAGGCACTGAAATGGCTGTGAAAAGAGGCTGACTGATACCCACAGAATGTATTCTTTTGCTTACCTGATCAATGAGTGCCTCTTTTGCTGTGGATGCTTGTTAGTGAGCATTCACAGGAGCATTTCACACTCTGTACCTATTTTGAATGGTATTTCTCATATACTGTTTCCCCAGTCTTCCTGATCAACTATATTCCAATCATATTCTTTCCAAGTGCTTGACAAAACAGCCAAACTATCTGACAGCACCCACGTTTCAGGGTAGATGTGTCTACTGGCCAATTCTTACTAGGACAAATGGACAACCAAGTATACATGATTTCACTCCACCAATGTCTTTCAGGGGCCCAACAAGTGGGTAAGTGATGCCGCAGCAAATCATGCAGAAGCATCATGTGACTAAGTCCTGGTATAGACTAAACAGTTAGGCGTAGGAAAGTCATTACCCATGTTACCTGAGCATCCCATCATGAGCCGGATGTTATGTGATCCACTAAACCATAAAGTTGGGCATGGACAGCTGCAATCCATTATTAAGTAGAAATGATGTAGAAAAGATTCACCTTGAATGGATCTGAAAGTCACAAGGAAATTGCATGATCAGGTGACGTAGAGTGCTTTGATATCAGTACCAAGTGCATTACTGCTTTGCTTTAGTTTACGCTTCATATACCATTGGATTTTCTGGATCCATGTGCAAGAGCCTAGATTTTCTGGAAACATTTATCTTGTTCAGATCCCTACTCACACAATTGGTAGCATTATGATTACTCTGTAAACAAACAGGTTGAAGTAGCACACTCATTTTTATTGAACCAAAATCCAAAAGGACTATTGAATGTTGTGCCCTTTTTAAAGGTAGGCGGTGCCACTTTTGGCAAATTGTCCTTCATAATGAAGGGGACATGGCAACATGCTCCAGACCACTGGATCCCCAGAAAGCAATCTCCTAAATTTTTGTGGGGTTTATCTCCCATGCTTTGAATAATATATGTCTTGCTAAGGCATTTGAGGTACTCGTACTTCTTGATCATCAGGTACAATCAGCACAATGCCGTCAGTATGGGGATCAGTGAGACATTGGGTGGAATGTTTATGAGAAAGAGTAGGAGAGTTGACAAAGTACCAGGCAAGATTGTAAAAATGCACTGTTTGAGCTGCTAGATGGAAGCAAATTGCTTCTAGTTGTTCCTGTAAGTTGCTATGGCAAAAAGAGGCACTGACAGGTCAACAATTGCATATCAGGTGCCAGAGACTGTTAATTTGCTCCAATACAGATCTTATGTCTAAAAGAGCAACTGGAAACTGGTCGAGAGACTGCGATTCTCCATTGTAGCAACCTAAGTCAGGATTTTGGCTGCCAGAATTGAAGGTTTTCCTGTTACATGGATCAAGCAGCATTTTAGTGGGTTGACCCATCTCTTCCTATAAGTTTGAAGCATTTATCTTTATCGTTGCAATTTATAAACTTCTCCAAGATATATCTAGGTGTGGAGTTTGGTTCCTTGCTGTTTTCTATTTTTATTATTACTCTAACGAACGAGCGTTCTCCTTTTAAAACCGCAAGCATGCCCTCGGCTTAGCACCTGGAGTATCCTTTCGAGCTGGAGTTTTTTTAGCTAAGAATTGTTTCTATTATTTATTTGACTCTTTCTTCTCATTTTTCTTTTCTTTTTTAAATAACAATGTATAGACATTTATATTATATTATTATTTTGCAAGTCTCTTGATTTTTCTATCATAATTTTTATTTCTTCTGAAACATGCTATCTAAGTTATTAGGCTGGAAATTCCAGGTTACTAATTTGATGTTCAGAAAAGTCTACTCTCCAATTCAGCACAATGTAATAATAATAATAATAAAACAGTAGTGATTTTACTTCCCAAATGTTCTCTTTGCCTTTTTATTATTGTATAGTTATAAAAGCCTCTCAGATTCCTCTGATACACAAATTGTTTTTTATTTAACATTTATTTAATATTCTATGTCCCCAGCACTAACTGCATTTTCTTAAAGGTTATTTCTTTTACTCGTTCAGTCTAGTTTTTCTCTTTCATTGCTTTTACTTTCCTCAATGTTAACTTTTTTAAAAATCTGAATGTACAGCTGTAATCAATGGGCAAGTTTTAGCCCAAGTATGTGGGTTTTGTTGTTTCTTTATTTTCTTTTTCTTTCTTTTTGTCTCAGCTAACATAGGCTTTATAATTTTAACTAGGGAATGTTCTAATTCTTTACATTTGCAACACTCAGTGGTCTATCACTCAGCAACTGTACACAATTATGTTCCCATCCAGTCCTTTTAGGTATTTGATTTTATGACCTTAAACTAGGCTATGCCTTGGTCAGTATAGGGAGCTAAAGTCAATTTCTTCAGCCCCTGTTAGTGGAACCCTGAGTTTGGTGATTATGTTGGACAAACGAGTGGAGAAATGACTTTACAAAATTTCCTTTAGGGCAAATGGACTGCTTGTTTCTAGAAGCATGGCATTCTTCCCACCTCAAAAGAACCTGACATACTACCCTATTTTTTCCTAATTTATGTGTTTGTCTCGACATAAACTTTGTCCCTTTTTCTACAGGACTACTTGACTTTTTCTTATTAACTCATCAGATCCCTTTATGAATTAGGAATGTTATCTATTTCTGTGTTACAAATGTTGCAAATATTTTCCAATAATTATTTCTTTTCTAAGAATTTCCATATGATATTATCTTTCATAGAATTATTTTACAATTTTGTGTGCTTAATCTGTCACTTGTTTCTTTTATGATTCTGGGATTTTGAATTGAGCTGTTAGGAGGAATTTCACATTCAATTCTTTTAAAATATTTAAAAGTATTTTAAAAATCCCATTTTTTCTGTTTTTGTTAGGTTTTTTTGGCTCGTATTTGTCTTTGCTTTTTACAATTTCTTCTTCAAACGAATTCATATTTAATTTTGTGTATTTTATGAAGTAGGGAATCTGACCAGTTCAAATGAATGGCCACTAAGCTATTTTAAGTAACGTACCTCTATGTAGGCACGGAAAACTCAAAGTCTACAGGGGCCAGGACTGTCTGCAAATGTGTGACGACATTGGTAGTAGAGCTAATTGTCATGAACTTGTGATGTGTTCCTCATAATTGTGTTCAAATTTATTTTTTAAACAATCAACTTTAGATCAGTCAGCCAATCTGTGGGCTGTTCTTCTTTGTCAATTTTTGGGTATTCTGCAATATTTACTTTTCAAGGGGATTTTCAGAATCAACTTTTCCAAATTCCATAAAATATATTGCCGGGACTTTGAGCTTGCACTGACTTTACAGATTTCTCTAAAATGTAGTGTACTTCTGTCTAAGAATATAACATACAAATTGGTTTATTTAAGCCTTCTTTTATGTGATTCAATAGTGTTTCACTGTTATTGTTTTCTTTTAGGTGGTAAGCTTTTTCTATTGACTCTACTCCTAAGTCTATTTTAGAGTTAATTTTAAATATATATATTTTGCATTATATCTGAGATGAGAAAAAATAAAACTTTGGTTTAGAAGAGTGTTGATTATTTTCGTGTGAAGTCTGATGAATTTGTAAAGAAAGTTAAAATAGTAATAACCTGGAATTAAATTCCAATTTATTGTACCAATGTAAATCACGGGGTAGAGAGTTTGTAAGTAGTGAGATATTTAAAGGTTTTTGTTTGCAAGAAGAAATGTATAGATGTTGATCGATTTTATATTTTGTACAAAAATTTAAAATATAAATTAACAATTTCTATTTTAACTTCTAAAGTTAAAAAGCAAATTACAACCTAGTTTTGTTTTTGTTTTTACAGAAAAGAGGAAATGTGCCTATAATGTCAATATAAAAAGAATTGGTGAAAATCCGAGAGAAAACCACTAAGATTCCTCAAATAAACAAGTTATAGATATGAATAAATACATCACAATGGAAAGTAACATGTTACACTTTTCAAATTAAATTTGTTTAAATTAATTAATGATAATACTCTTTATAGGCTGTTGGATAACAATTTGGATTGAAAATATCTATCATATCTTAAAGGTGCTTATACATTTAAACTCATAATCTCACTAAAGTTTCATCTAAGTGAATGGAGAAATATTTATAAGTACTTAGCTAGTCACTGCAGCATTGTGTATTATAGAAAAATAAGGTAGAAAGAGAGAGAAATATGTCAAAGTAACCTAAATACCCTCACAATAAGAGATTTCTTGATGTGAAAATATTATATGGCTTTGATGTGATATTATGAAGCTATTAAAGTCATCGTTGTGGAGATTGTATAAAACTTACAAAAGTCTTTAACTTCTAAAGCTAGTAATTAAAAAATTAAACCTCAGTCTTACAAAAATACTACAATTTTTAATAGTATGTGTAATGATAAAAAAGTAATAAATACTAAAATATTAGGATACTGGAAGGAAATGTGTAAATATTATCACGTTATTGGTATTTTAAAGTTTTATCTACCATTATACACTCCTAAAACTGCCTTTAATGTTTATGATATTTTTTAACCCAGCAAATATTTATTAAGTGTTTACTACTTGTCAGGTTTTGCATTTACTGAGAGGATTTAGACAATAAAACATTAGAATTTTCCTCTTTTCCAAAAAATTACATCGCAGAAATAGTCACAATAAAGTGCAAAAATTGCTATTATTAGAGAGGTACAGAGTGATAGAGAGAGCACCAAATCCACGTCTGGATGATGAAGAACATTTGTCCAGAAGGAATTGGATCTAAAACAGAATCTGCAAGAGTCAGAAAGGATGATGCATTTGGACTTTATCCTGAAAATAACTATCAGGTTTTCACTAAAGAAGAACCTCTACTTCAAGTGCAGAATTGCCTCAAAAGACTAAGATTGTAAATAGAGGGATCAATAGGGAGATTATTCTTACATGGCAAAAATGATGAGAGTCTGAACTAAGATGGTTGCCACAGACTTGATGAAAAGCTGATAGATTTGAAAGATATTAAGTTCACAAAATTAACTACATTTAGTAACTAAATAAATGTGAAAGGTGAGTAAAAGTAAAATCAGATTGACACAGATTTCTGGCTTCTGTGAACAGATGACTCACAAAGGACTAGAGCTATAATTGCACAATTGATACTAGTTCAGTTTGAGAAAATAAGGACTAGTTTTTTTGAATTCTTCCCAGTCTATGGAGTGGATCATTCAACAATGGACAGGTATGAATGACAAAAGAGATCAATTTGGGTACACTGGAGGGAGAGGGGGAAAAAAAAAGAGGTGGCATCAATCTTCTGTTCCTCAGGTCATGAAACAGTTAGGGTCTGTGCATTCTTCTTCTGAATGCATGTTACTGGCAACCACAATGATGATAAAACTCTTCTCGTATCATGTCTAGGACAAACTTTCCTTGGGAATTATGATACTGAGTTTAGATTCATATATCACCTGCCAAGTTTCCCAAAGCATGCCAAACATCAGTAACTCTCAGGGAAATCCAAATCAAAACTATGATCACATATCACCCCACTCCCATCAGAATGGACATAAATAATAAGGCAGGAAACAGTGTGTTGGAAAGGATGTGGATAGAAGGGAACTCTCACACATTGCTGGTGGTAGTGCAAACTGGTGTATCCACTATGGAAAACATTATGGAGATGATTACTCAAAAATTAAGCATAAAACTACTATACGGCCCAACTATTCCACTATGAGGCATTTATCTAAAGAACATTATAACACGAAGGTGTAAAGATACATGCACCCCTATGTTCATTGTAGCATTATTCACAATAGCAAAGACTTGGAATAAACCTAGGTGCCCACCAAGGGACAAATGAATAAAGAAGATGTAGTATGGAATATTACTCAGCCACAAATAAACCATGAAATCTGGCCATTTGTGACAACATGGATGGACTTTAAGGTTATTATGCTAAGCGGAATAAGTCACAGGGAGACAGTCAAATACCACATGACCTCACTCCACACTCAGAAGTAGAAGACAAAAACAACAACGAACAATCACATAGAGACAGAGATTGGATTACCAGAGGGTGGTTACCAGAAGGGACAGAGGGTGGGAGGAGGACAAAAGGGGTGATTAGGATCATTTGTGTGGTGACAGACTGTGATCAGTCTTTGGGTGGGGAACATGATGTAATCTACACAGAAACTGAAATATAATTATGTACACCCAAAATTTATATAATGCTATAAACCAGTGTTATTGCAATGAAAAATTAAATAAATTAATTAATAATAAGAGATGAGAACTTACAAAAACCTGGGGAAAACAATGGACTTACAAGTACATGAAGCCAATAGGACTCCCAATTACATCAATGCAAAAAGACCTTCTCAAAGGCACATAATATTAAAACCGTCAAAAGTTGATGACAAAGAAAAAAATATTAAAAGCTGCGAGAGAGAAGAAAATAACTTATGAAAGAACCTCTAAGCAGTTTTCAGTGTATTTCTCAGCAGAAACCTTGCAGGCTAGGAAAGAATGGAATGATATATTTTAAATACTGAAAGACAAAAACTATCAGTGCAGAATAATATATCCAGTGAAATTATCCTTCAGATAAGACAGAGAAATAAATCTTTTCCAGATAAATAAATGCAGAGTTCATCACCACTAGATGTGCCTTATGAGAAATGATAAAGGGAGCCCTCATATCTAAAACAGAAAAAGCAAAGATTTACATAACTTTGAGCAAAGTGATAAATTGACACACAAAATCAGAAAATTGCCATTGTCTACCAGGATAGGTTAGCAAAAAATAATAAAATAAAAGATAAAGGGAAAGAAGGCATCAAAAATAACTATAAACACTTCACATTAGACACAAACTCACAACACAAAAAAAGAATAATTTGGAGGAGGAAAGGGATGGAACCTGCTTAGGCTAATGGAGATCGGAGGCTATCAGGAAAAGGACTATGTCATGTATGAGATCTTTGATACAAACCTCATGGTAACCACTAAACAAAAAAATAGGAGCAGAGACACAAATCATAAATAAAGAGAAAACTATCACAGAAAACTACCAAACTGAAACTGAAATTTCTGACTGAAATTTCCTTTCCAGTCAGAAATACGAGGGAAGAGAAACAATGGAAAAATATGAAAACTGATAGTTAGGAAACACTGGAAATACAGGACAACAAAAAAAGGGATAAAATGGAATTATGAAGCACTCAGATATCAGTAACACTTTAAATGTAAATGAATTGATTTCACCAATCAAAAGATGAAATTTGCTGGATGGGTTAAAAAACAAGACTCAAGAATATGCCAGCTCCAGGAAGCACATCTCAGCCCAAAAGACAAACGTAGCCTCAAACTGAACAGATGGAAGATGATACTCCAAAAAAACGGCAAGCAAAAGAAAGCGGGTATAGCCCTATCAATATTAGACAAAGCAGACTTCAAGATAAGAAAGAAATGAGGGAGAAAGAGGGACATTATCTAGTGATAAAAGGGACATTCTACCAAGAAGATATAACACTTATTAATAAATATTCACCTAGTACAGGAGCATCAAAGTATCTGAAGCAACTATTAACAGACTTAAAGGAACAAATCAACTGCAGCACAATAAAGGTAGGAGACCTTTACATCAATGGATAGATCATCTAGACAGATAGGGAACAAGGAAACAGTGACTAAATGAAACACTAGACCAGATGGACTTAATAGATATATATTAGATCTTTCAATCCCAAAACAGTAGAATACATATTCTCCAGTGCACGTGGAAAATTCTTATAGATAGATCTTTTGATAGGACAAAGCAAGCCTCAATAAATTTAAGAAGACTGAAATCATTTCAAGCATCTTTTCTGACAACACTGCAATGAAACTAGAAATCAACAAAAGGATAAAGCTGGGAAAGGCACAAATATGTGGAGACTAACAACATGCCACTGAACAACCATTGAATCAGTGAAGAAATCTAAGGAGAAACCAAAAAGCTATCTGGAGACAAATAAATGAAAACACAACATACCAACACTTATGGGATGCAGCAAAAGTGGTAAATGAAGGGAAATTTATAGCACTACAGGCCTACTTCAACAAACAAGAAAAATCTCAAATAAGTGATCTGAAACTACATCTAAAAGAACTAGAAAAAGAAGAACAAACAAAGCCCAAAGTCAGCAAAAGGAAAGGCATAGAAAAATTGGAGCAATAACAAATGAAATAGAGACTAGAAAAAGAATAGAAAAGATCATTGAAACTAAGAGCTGGTACTTTTAGAAGAGAAACAAAATTGACAAAACTTTAGCCACTCTCACCAAGGAAAACAGAAAGAAGGCTCAAATGAATGAAATTAGAAATGAAAGTTGAGAAATTGTAACAGATACCACAGAAATATAAAGGACTAAGAGAATACCATGAAAACTATATGCCAACAAATTGGATAACCTAGAAGAAATGGATAAATTCTTAGACTCATACAACCTCCCAAAGATGGGTCAAGAAGAAATCGAGAATGTGACTAGACCAATTACGAGTAAAGATATTGAAACAGTAATCAAAAATCTCCCCAAAAACAAACGTCCAGGACCAAATTGTTCCTCTGGTGAATTCTACCAAATAAAAATATTGTGCACCAGCCTGTAACCTCACAGATTAGATAAGGACACAGATTGATGAGTGAAGTCCCAAAGAAAGAAGAGAAAAGTGTACTGTAGAAAAGATATTAAAAAAAATGTCCAAAATTTGGTAATAGCCATAAACTTACAAATTCAAGATGCTTAGAAAATTCCAAAAGGAATAACCTCAGAGAAAACTGTGTCTGGACAAATCATAATAAGCAGCTGAACTCTATTCTAAAGAAAAAAACCAAATGAATTTAGAGAAAGGACAGTGTGATAGCTTAAAGGTGCTGAAAATAAAGAACTTTAACCCAGAATTCTATATCCAACAAAAATGCCCTTC